GATTTGATCTTCAAATCTAAGCTTTCGACCACCTCATGCAATCTAGGACTATCCGCACTTGTCATCTGAGAGCATACCTTCCCTTGGATGTCATCCACAGATTTAGACACGTCCCACATCACAGACACACTATCCTTGAACACCTTCTCCACGTTCTTCTGTGATCCCTTTAACTCTCGAATTTGATTATGTGCGATAGTTAAAGCAGCCTGTTGCATCTTGAATTCATGTCGAAGTTCCTTCAATTTTTCAAAAATTGTTTGCAGAAGCTGAAAAATATCGTCTTGAGAAGCCATATCATATCAACTTCGGTATCAACCGAAACACTCTAAATTCTAAGTGGAAACACCAAAAAACATCGTAACTTCTTACTCAAGCGTCCATTCACCTTCAAACTTTTTGAGCTTCTGCCGAATATCAATCCTCAAGTCCCCAAAACTTTTCAGCCTCAGATCATGCTTCGTTGAAAAGATAAAAATGTCTGAACATTTTTGTGACCACCTGAACACTCGAAACAAAAAGTCAAAACTCCAAATGGGCTTTAACTTTTGACTCAAGCGTCCATTCACCTTCAAACTTTTTATGCTACTTCCGAATATTGATCTCCAAGTCCTCAAAAATTTTCAGCCTCAGATCATGCTTCGTCAAAAAGATAAAAATTTCTGAACATTTTTGTGACCACCTAAACACTCTAAACAAAAAGTCGAAACTCCAAATGGGCTGTAACTTCTGACTCAAGCGTCCATTCACCTTCAAACTTTTTGAGCTTCTGCCGAATATTAATCCTCAAGTCCCCAAAAATTTTCAGCCTCAGATATGCTTCGTCAAAAAGATAAAAATGTCTGAACATTTTTGTGACCACTTGAACACTCGAAACAAAAAGTCAAAACTTCAAATGGGCTGTAACTTTTGACTCAAGCGTCCGTTCACCTTCAAACTTTTTATGCTACTGCCGAATATTGATCATCAAGTCCTCAAAAATTTTCAGCCTCAAATCATGCTTCGTCAAAAAAATAAAAATGTCTGAACATTTTTGTGATCACCTGAACACTCGAAACAAAAAGTCAAAACTCCAAATGGGCTGTAACTTCTGACTCAAGCATCCATTCACCTTCAAACTTTTTGAGCTTTTGCCGAATATTAATCCTCAAGTCCCCAAAAATTTTCAGCCTCAGATCATGCTTCGTCAAAAAGCTAAAAATGTCTGAACATTTTTGTGACCACTTGAACACTCGAAACAAAAAGTCGAAACTCCAAATGGGCTGTAACTTTTGACTCAAGCGTCCGTTTACCTTCAAAATTTTTATGTTATTGCCAAAAATTTATCTCCAAGTGCTAAAAAATTTTAAGCCTCAGATCATGGTTCGTCCAAAAGATAAAAATGTCTAAATATTTTTGTGACCACGTGAAACACTCGCAATTGACACTCTTCGCTGAAAAAATTCGTGAACTTCGGCGTCCCAAATCCAAAATGCGTGAATATTACTTTATACTTATGTGTGCCATGCGTTACATCTATAGCAACACAACCTCCATTTTCATGTTTTAGCAATCATTCTAGGAGCAAAGGTCTTGTAATTGCAAGCCTTAATGGTTTAAATGGATCATTTTTTTGTGTCTGATATAGAACAACTTGAGATGAATTTGTTTTCAAATATAACATCCATATGATTTCTCCAAGTTTCTTTGTCGAGTTCCAATTTGATATTATACACATCAGCAGATCTGATATAATGTCTCTAATAGGGATCCCTTGCACATAGTCTAAGCTCTGTTGATTTTCAAACAGTGTTTTTGCAGCACGCATAAGAATTTGTGGAGGAGTTAAACCTCTTCTTAACTCGCATTCAACCCACTCCCTGGCGAAAGAACATAGAAAATATTGACAATGTGCTTACTTAGCGTCAAAGTTTTACAAACTGTAATAACAACAAACTTATTGTACATATTACAAATATGATAGGCGATTAACAGTGAACGATAAACAAATACATTGAAAATATTACAAATATGCCGTTACCTGCACTCAGAGGATAAATTGTGCGCCATCTGAGATGGCAAGCCAACACTATCCGGACACGCTGTGCCATGACAAGCTACACCTGCAGCATTTATGTGTCTTCTATGCTTGTATAGCAACTTTGTGGTCCTTGGTGGAATGTGATCATTAAGCAGCAGTTCAATGGCACTAAACATGCACTGACAGCCCTTGTGATGAGAATCATGATCTAATCTATTCTTGCTGCCTAGATCAAATTTTGACTTTGTTGATGGATCTTGTATAAAATTTGAGCTAAGCATACTCTTCTTGCCCCTTTCTTGAGTATCATATTTGCAAGAGTACATTGTATACGATTCCCAACGGTGCCTAGCTCCTCCACCTTTGTATGAGCAACGTGTCACAAATTCCGTCTTCGCATCACTATAACAAGATGCCTCTCCTGAAACAAAATCGTCAAGCCTCGAACTTTTGATGTAAGACGTCCCATTCAACCAATTCAAGATTAACGAATTGAAAGTGTCATCCCATAGTGGATCCTGCACAATCCATCCTGCCTTCATGCTGTCATCACACCTGCAAAAAGCACCTAAAATGACAAGAAAAGAACAAGCACGAGCTCTGGTACGAGCTTCTCACAGCACTGACACGGGCACCCAAAAGCGACGTCGAAACATCGACGAGCTGGAGTATATCGATGTGACACTATTTTCAAAAACCCTAAACTTTGCCGCCTAAAATTTTGTCGCCACAATATGTTATCATTGTTTGAATTACAATTATTCCAGTTTGAATTTATTAGTGATTCCAACTGAACTATCCCTCCTGCGGTTTAGTTTTAGTTTAACTAAAACAACGGCCTCTACATGCCTCTACATGGTTGTCGGAATTTAATACGGTTGACGGCCTCTACATGGTTGTCAGAAACTTGGGTCCCGACCCTCAAGTCCCCAAAACTGAGATAAAATCCGGCTGACTCGGGGCTGCCCGAATGGAGCATGAAGCAAGAAAGAAAAAGTAGAAAGAAATTGGGATCCCTGGAAGTACGGCAGTTTGTATAAGTTTGTGCAACTAAGCGAGTCGAAGTCAAAGCAGGGGTAAACTTTGTAGACATACAATAACAGGTACCGTTAGAATATACGGAAGTGAGGGGTTCATTTGTAGAGTCTTCAATCCTAGCCGGCAATGAAATCTAGTGGAAGTAAACAACAGAGGAAGTTGAGACGACAAGAAGATGCTGTACTAAGGCACAGTTGGTTTAATTTGAGTTAAATCAAACTCAGTCGTCGCATTTATCTCTGAGAAATACCAACCGCAGGCTACGAAGAGCTGAGCTTTTTTGTTCTGCACCTCGTTACGGTACTTTCGAAAAGCCTATGAAGACAATTGACGGTGTACCAAAGCATTCTACATCAATACTACTATGGCTTCTGAAAACTTATGCTCACTTTCAGGGTACATCTTGTGACTGACAAACATAATCTTCTGTTCTTGTAACCAGCCCATCCAGCTGTTTCGATAAACCAGCTGGACAATTAGATTCAGTTCACTACTTTGAACTTCATCGTCTGTCCTGACCTCGCAAGGAACTTAATGCTGCTCGGCCAAGGAAATAATGAAGTGCAGAGAATGACTGTGTTCATATTACAACCGTCGGACCTTTCGCTCGATGAACTTGTGTGATGCAAACCACAAAAAATCCTGAACACTCGAATAGGCAGAGTCGTCACACAAGTCAGAGCGCTGCAGTTGCCCATCTGAAGTCTAAATCATCGGTTTTCCCTCCGGTCTTCAGAACACTTAGCGGAAGTCAAAGCCATAGTAACTGTTACTGTGGAGACAACAGTTTCTCCCCATTCCATATGACCAGGGTGCTCATGATCGACAACAACTCAACGCAGATCAGAGAAGGGTGAGATGGCAGCTCAGAACAATGCATAAGGACCGAAACAGTAAAGAGCTTGGCCAATCTGGAGGCTATAGTCTGAAGTTTCTCCAATATTGAGCCGGAACAAAGAGAAGAAGGAAGGCTTCTTTCGCTCCGTATGTCATTGCATTTTTTGGGTTTCTTATTTGCTTCTGGCTTCTGTTATAGTGACTTGGGTTCTTCTGCGGGGCTTCAACAGACCGCGTTTGTGTCCTACAGTTCTTGATCCCACAAATTATAGTTCGAGAACCAGCCGTTACATCGTTATCATTGAATTATGTGTTCATCAATGTCTAATGCGAATGTTCATATTCTTGTTTCCATTTTTGTAAAGTCTCCCTCCCTCACTAGTTCACTGGTAGTACATGATCCTAAACTATTTGAGCATCTTCGAGATCTTTTCCCTGAGTGGGTGGTTTTCCTTCGAACTGATACGCATCTCATTGCATATCGAAGTATGAGGACAAAACTGCAGAGCTAAACTTTGTGCATCCTTACCGCGAGGCTTGATTGAACAACCTTCGAGACATCTGTTCGGTCAAGTCGAATTTCCTGTTATGATTTATGATTGGTTTCTGTCTAATCTGGGACAGCATGTTATCAGGTCTTTGAGAAACAGTTGATGTATTTTATAATAAACAGTACTTTTATCGCGAAACTATTACAAATCATAGTCAAGACGTAATTGTTTTACGCAATAAATTATTATGCATTAAAATATCATTTCATCTATAGTCATTGATCTATCATCATTAAAACGATAAAAAATTATTTTTATCAAAAAAATTTTAAATTATAAATCTCATAATTTTTTAATAAATGTAAATAGAAACGCGTTATATGTAAAACAATGTACCTTTGACAAAAAATGTCACATTTCCCGAAACAGGTTGACTTCACTTCCTAGCAAATTTTGCGTTGAATTTGCGAAAACTCTAAAATCAACGTATTCTGAATCCAGAAAAGGTTTAACTACTACTTTCAAACACATTCTAAAGAAAAAGATCTTGAAAAATTTCACATTTCAGTCAACCGGCACATTCTGGTTAATTCTTAAGGCGTTCGGAAAGAATCTTGCCATTGGAATTGGCATGCTGACTTCTCTCAGTTGACAATGAAAATACAACAATCTACACTGGAACTGACAAGACCATCCGACACGAAGACTTAACTGGGCAAACGCAAGTGTTGCAAGGTCTGCAAACTTGAGAAACTGCCACTGCTATAATAACCTCACACCAAAGTGCTCCCCATCCTTAATAAAACTTATGTTCATATCTCTTGCAGTTCACTTGCTCAGTATCTGAAGACAATTCATCCTGCAAGAACAATGGAGGCAATTAGGATTCTTTGCACTCGAAACTAAGAACCCTCTGACAGATTTCCGGTTGAGCAGAGAAAAATAGCTAGATTCGACCATTCAGTATTGCACTCTTCTCGGGATTCTAAGCTGAGATAGAGATTGAGGGGAATTTTGAGCTCAGTTGAGCATATGTCACCCCCCTGGTTTCTGGTTTACGATCCTCAGCTATTCTCTGCGCTGATTTACTTCGATGTCAAGAATGAGAGCAGCGAACCACGAAGAGAGAATCAAGAATCGCAGAATTGTGAGAAAGTGGTGACAATTTTAAGAGAAGACGGCGGACAGGTCACATACGGTTTGGACGTATATGTAGAAAAGTTCGTCCAGGATCATCCAGGTCATGCTGTCTGCCACGCTAAGACACTTCTACTCAGAGGGCTGTGCAGGGTGCTGTTTCCCCGAACTCTCCTCTTGCGAGGGGAGTGTTATATTATGATCTCCATGGTCGGTAGCCATCCACTGCTAACTTCTCGAATACCACACCCAGCTCCCCCAGTTCTGTCCAGAAGCTCACCCAATGCTCCAGAATCAAGCGCTTCGAAGGAAAAGCTAGTCACAGGTGCTCAGCCGGGGCCTCTTCATTTCACAAGGTTCGTAATTACTCGGCAACAGGTGGTCTCCATCCTCGGACGAGGATCTTCCAGCTGCAACGAAGGAAACTACCATGCCGCTCTTCCTGATCATACTTCGCAGGCGGCCACCCCTTCATCAGTTGCCCAACCAGTGCACCTGAATCAAAAGGATGTGCCAACATTTCACTTGTCCAACACCTTTTCCAGAAGAAAGATCACAATGCGCTGGTCTCCGAGACTGCCAAGCATCCCCGAGATGCCGATTCCTGGTACCTCTGGCTCTCGACAAAGGTACGAAGGTTAAATAGAATGCATTTCGCTCTCATTGACATGAAACAGTGGAATATATCTCCACCGTTGAATATATTGAATATATTGACGATGGCCTGAATCCGAGATAGCAACCAACTACGTACGCACTTGAGGAATATTATGTTTGGGTCTTATGCATCTGGAATAAGCTATCTGAGATATAAACTCCTTGATATCCATGGCAACTGAGAATCAAGATACAGCCTAGCAGAATAATACATTGCTGTTGGTTAGCGTCCAAATATATGAATGTCCAATTTCATGTTGGTCAATCTCATTACTTGCAATAAAGTGCACGATATTGAGTATTACTACAGGGCACGCACTATTCTGTCATATCATATAGCTATTGTTTGCTTGAGTTTTGATACATAGTTTGCAATGATGTGGTTTGGAACATTCATCTGGTTATACAGTGTCATGTCTTTTCTAAACATTGATGTTACAATAAATGTAATCTTGTAATTAATGAAGACAAACTTGCAATTTGTTGTAGAATGAATCAACCGTTAAAACATATTGGATGTTTTACCGATAGTGAGTTTTGTTCATTGTGATGATTCATGGGTTACAAATGAACTCAATGAAACTCAATCATCATAGCTTTTTATTGTCATTTTACATAGATAATAATTTTCAACCATATGACAATATTATATAACCCCTTTTATCCTTAACCTCACAAATCGCTATGTGAAACTAGTTTATGAGAAGATACACATCAATTTGAATCATTCTAAGGTATTGATTTGTGATATCAACAACTTTGATACAAACATCTAAATGCAATTGGAATTGCAAGATAACACTAGTTTTATAATATTAACGCTATAAAAAAAGCCAAAAAATGCTATTATAGATGTAATCAACATTGGCTGCAAAATAAAAAAAAATTAAGATGAAAACATTCTAATCAGAAATATATCTTAATTTAGTTTTAATAATGAATAAATTTTAAAAATGAAATATTTTTTTTTCAAAACAATGACTAAACAATTTTTCTATCAACAATTCTTAATTGAGAATTTTTAATCTTTTAATTGAAATGAGTTTATCATATTTCAAAAATTAGTTATATGCCAAATATTTAACTTTATGAATTTATCCAAAATTCAAATATAGCATCATCAGAACCTTTAAATTCTTTGTTCTAAATAAAATTATTTTTTTAAATTTTATCTTGCAAATTGTGAAGCTTTTTAGCGTATATGTAAAAATTATCATTATGAAAAGTTTAAAACATTTTCAAAGGTTAATCCAAAATTCAAATTAATGCATGTGCAAGTGAACAATCATGTTGAATCATCACAACAAAACATGAGATTATGTAACATAGTTCACCACAAAGGGCTATGTCCATGGGGAAGTGCATGCATGAGAGTGCATTGAATGTTCCAAGTAATACACAAATTTTAGGTTATAAATACCCAAGTACTTGCAAAACTCCTAGTTATTTTTAGTTGGAACTTGAGATCACTCAATAATCTGAGTTACCATCAACAATCTCCCAATTAACTCGTGTTAAGGAAACAATAATCTCTATAACCTATATTATTACTCCGTGGAAAATTCTAGACCGAAGCTTAAAACAAAATCACTCTTTACACGAGAGTTAATTAAAACAAAACCGTAATCATAACATGATAGAGTAGTAACATAAAGAGAGAAAAAAACTTGCTAGCATAGAGAGAATAGAAACCTTGTAACGTACACAATTAATCCACGGAATATTCTAAAAAGAAACCTAATACAAGATTATTCTTTGTACAAAAATTAACTACAACTAAATTGTAGTCATCACAAGATAGAATAAATATCAAAGAGATAACTGAAGATTCCATGCTAGCAAACTCTAACTATGCTTCTATGCACAACCTGCATAATAGCACAGTGTAGTCTGGGACTCTTCAGAGTACTAACTTTGGATAATGCATCATTTAGATTGAATTTATAATCGATCTTGACTAGCTCAATCGTTTTATCAAAGTTTATTAGTAAATCTTGACTAGCTCAATCATTTTACTATACACTACTTGTTTAATAAAAATACAGGAGGTTGTTATGTTTCACTCTACTGTACGCAATCTAGTTTTGAGTCAAATATGAAGCACAATGAAGATTCATCACGACTTGTGTCAATTTCCATCTTCATGATAAGCTTGTTGGCTACATAAAAAAACATGTGTTATACTTTGGAATTTCACCAATATCGTGCTACTTCTTGATCATTAATCACATAATGATCAAATTTTTCTACAATCATATCAATGAGTGAAAATTTTACCTTGTAAGTACGAAAAGCAGGTGGTCTCTTACTCTATTTTAATGATATAGATTTATTGAAAGAAACATTCCTACTGACAAGAACCGTACAAGATACTAGATCCCATTGCTTGTAATCCATAAGCATCATAGGTAGTCATCAAAAAGATACTCCTCTTCGGAATCAATGTCTTTTACATCATTCACCAATGGAGAGGGAACAACATATTGGACAATTACATTGTAATCTCTCTTGATGTGACCAGTATTGGCATTTTTCAAACTCCATCATCAGTACTTATCCTTAGATTTGAATATATTCCTCTCATTCATAGGCTCGGATCTTTTACTCTCAAGGGTCTGGGATCCAACCATCCGCCAATCGGAGTTTACAACGTTCGTCAACAAAATGAAAATTGCCCCTTTAATCTTTGCAGATAAATATTTGTTGATGTGGCCACTCTTGCCACATCATCAACAAACCATAGTTTTATTTTTAAGAGATTTACGCTTAGAATGAGATCTCTTCCTCGCCTCTTAGTGATCCCGCGCAACTGGCTTGTTTGGTCTGTTCAATCTCAATCGTGCATGAATGATCGTTTACACAAACTCCATCAAAAATTGATTAAAATTGATCAATCAAATTGATAGTAAATTGATCAGGTATTTTTTGTGGTTAAGTAGTATTTGACATATGCCGTGACACCAACCAATTCTAGTGAATTCGTGTTGATCTACTTGAGAACAAGTTCCATCATTTTGACAATTGGAAGTTGGTACAAGAAGCAAAAGATGGCGAGAACTCCTCAAGCTTTGCTCACACTCTACTCTCTAGCTAGATCGCCGGTCAGCTTCCCTATAGTTAATAATCTTCCGCTACACTTCTCCGCTTCCTTTCCATCTCCAGATTTCCGGTATCAATTACAGTTCGATTTGAAAAGAAGTTTTACTAAGAAGTTCGAACTTCGGCTCAAAAAAACTATCACAAGAATCTGTCAACTACAACATTGACCACTTATCTCGCCCTCGATTTGATGGAATCGCTAGTGTCTCCACCTACACTTGATTACTCTATCCAAAAGAGAAGTTTGTTATAAACAGAACTTTGAGAGAGAAAAGAGTCCACTTTTAATACACTGTTAAAAACATCATTATTAGTCACGTGTGGTAGTAACTCGGATAAACCGTCACATTGTCACAAACCTCAAAACTATTACAGAGTCAAAAAATAATGTTACAAGAAATGCAAGCTCTAATACCAATTTTTGAAAGTTAATCTAAGAATCAAATTAAGCATGTGCAAGTTACCAGTCACGTTAAATCATCGCAATGAAACACTAAACGATGTAACCTGGTTTACCAGAAAGTGCTACGTCCACAAATGAAAGTGTACTAAATGTTATGAGTAATACACAAACCCTGGGTTAAATATCCCAACACCGGCAATCCTTCCAACTATTTTAAGCTACAACTTGAGATTATCATTTAACCGAAAATAACCTCAACAAACATGTCAATTAAATTTAAATTTGAACTATATTTAAAAATATGTCTTATAGATTTTTTTTTCAATTTATGAAATTTTGAGTAAAAATATGTATAATAATTTACCTGTATTTTGTGATGTTTTCATTTTGATAAATAATAACTTTGGTAGAAATTTAATTTTAAATGGTTTCATTCATTATAATGAATCCATATAAAGATTTCATATGTTTGAATTTTGATTTATTTTTGAATTGGGATAATTTTTTAAGATCTTGCATATATTTTTGGTAAAATGTTGAAAGTTAATTAAAATTTAACTACAAATTGTGATAAAAATTTGAATTAATTCATAATCATTACATGTTAATGGATCGAATTTATTATTTTCATTATGAAAACTTGCTGGTTTGAAGATTTAATATCCAATTTATCTTATTAAGATTTACTTAGTAGATTATAAATTTTTTTGGAATGAAGTCCAAATTTATATGATTAAAGAAATTATGCTAAAACGTATAAATAGCTTTTGATAATTACATTGTATATTTTTTGAAATTTTATTAACTTATATTTATTATCAGAGGTATTTTAAATCAATTAATAAATTTTTCAAGAAAATTATTTGCTTTATGAAATTAATTTATTTAAGGAAAAAAATTTAACAATAAATTATATCACAAAATTTTGCAAAATGCAATATTCATGAGAAAAATATGTAATGTAAGATAACCATTGAGAAAAGTTTTAAAAATCAAGTTATTACAAAAATGTATCAATAAGAGTTTTATTTTATTATTATTATTATTCGTTAAATTAAATATGAAATTTATATTTATTCTTAATAAGTTATTATGTTTTTCCGACTTTATGTATTGCAAAGCATGAATTATTTTAATACTTAACAGTAAAATAAAAGATTTAATTTTTTTTCGAACATTAAATTTTTTTTCCTTTTATCTTCAATTGAAATTTTGAATTTGTTAAAATATTTGATGAAATGTTGTTCCAAATTATTTTCTAATTTTTTTATAAATTCAGAAATTTTTTTGTAATGATGAACTTCGATAAATATTTTATGTAGCTTAATATTTTTTTCTTATCGTAGTAAAGTGGATCACATTAAGACCTGAAAATCTAAGTGTATAAAAATCATCAAAAACTGTAAGATTTTATTTTAATTATATTCAAAATGTATAATTTTTTTGATTCAGGTTTTACATTTGGAAAAATGAAATCAAAATCAATGGAATAATCTGTTTGGTAAATCTGTGGCATGAGTGCAATTTTATTAACACAATTATGTTACATATTACTTAATATGCAAAGTTCATGAAAGTGAACAAAATCTTTTTATAAGTATAAGTGTTTATTACTTGAAATGAAAATTAATAACTCAGAAATTTTAACTAGATTTAAAAAAAACTTCAAATGTATGCCAAGATGCTGCCATTAATCTTGGATTTTTAAGAAGTATAAATAAGAGTCAATTCACTCAATTGCTTGAAATCTTAAGCAATTAATGTTGATAAAATAAATCACTATGAGAATCTCAATCGTGTTAAAACCTTACAATATATAATTTGATTCCTTTTGAAAAAATAATATTTTTGAAATTTTTATTTGTTTATTTAATATTTTTGAAATAAAAGATATAAAATTTTCATGTTAAAGTTGAGGAAAATCAGACAAGTCTACCTTGACTTACATTTTTAGAATTTGCCTAGATATATTTATCTTAAGTACTCTTATAAACATTATATGAGATGAATCTACTAAATTTCAGAACAAGAATTTCAAAGTGGTCAAATATCAATGATTATATATATAATCATTGATATTTTATCTATAATCTAAAAATCTATAATCTAAAAATAAATGTTAATGCTTTCTCTTAACAATCAGATCAATAGGGCTTTTAAAAAAAATAAAGTGAATTATTTGAATTCATCTGTTGAAAGTTGTCGCAACCAAACTTATTATGATTATTAACATTATTTTTTGTAATAATAAGATCATTTGAAAAGAGAGATAAAAACTGATTAATTGAAACCAGTTTTTTTCTTTTCTCTTTTAAAAAATCTAAAAAATTCTTAGTAAAAAAAGTCTTTTATGATAAATATGATTATATATATTTACTCCATAATATCACTATATGACTATTTATTGAAACTCATCTTAGAAATGAATTTATGATCATTCTAGAGATGATCATAAACTATTGAAAAACAACTATGAAAGTCAAATACCTATGAAGCTATGCATAATCCACGGAGAAAAACATATCTATTAATACTATATATATATATCATATCATTGATATTAGAAAACAATTGATGGAAGCTATCTGCTCAAAGTGGGATATAAAAACATAACATAGAATGAAAAATAATAATCCAATTGATATTTCATGGATGCAGATATCATCGTATATTATGTTTAATCTGAAGTTTAAAAACGAATACATGGGTGCATCTCGAATAATGTGATCATAAATTTTGTGCATTTAAACTATTTTATTCCTTTAGAATATATTGTCGACAGATTTCTAAAGAAAAGTATATCACTGATATAGATGAAGTTAATCAAATTTATCAAATTTCAAAACATGATGAGAAAGTATTAACTTTCAATGACTTCAAACTTTAAGATTTCTTCCAAGACGACTCTTTGTGATTTCTCCATATCATTCTCCCACAACTAGAATTAGGAAAGACTAGGGTGTTTCAACTCAAACTTGTATCAGGAAGAAAATCACGGGTTTCATACGATACACCCCACAACTCTATGGGCAAGTGATCATTAAGGTCAAATGACAACTTTTATTTCACGAATTTTCATTTTTTTTCCCAAGGTTTTGGGCTATTTTGGGAACATGAATTTTTTGCGTCTCAGCCCATAATACATAGTATGGACCCACACAATATTCCATCAAACGTGTACGCGTATGGAAAGCTGTTCCACACCGCATACTTGTAGATGAAACCGATTAAAACCCCGTAATACGACTCGCAGGAAATGTAAAATATTCTTGGAATAGGATTGAGATTAATCAGAAAAGGATGGAAGGGTGCAGGGGGGGACTGGCGCACGTGGCTGAAAATATTACGAAAAGTTGCGGACGGAAGAAAAGTCAGATCGGGAGCGGAAAAGTGGAGGAAATGGCCAGCTCCCTTTTCCTCAGGCCGCACTCCATCTCTTCTTCTACCCCTGCACTCCCCCACTCTTCCATCGCCAATCCTCTCTCGACCTCCTCGCCGATCGAGATCCTCTTCTCTCTCCCGAGAGCTGGCTGGATCTTGCTTTTTTGTATCATAGAAGAGCTCAGAATCCCAGTCTTCGATCGTCGAGCTTTTCTTGTCTGGTAAGCGTCCGTGTCTCGATCCGTCTCTTTCTCGTCGGGCTTTGCGTTGTTGAATCTGATGCATTCGCTTTCGGGGTTCGACATGCTGATTTGACTGTGGAGAGCCTGCTCTATCGGAGGAGTATCGTGATTCTTGCCCTTTAGTTTGAGTTCCACAGTGGACATTTGGTCGGAGCTCTAATGGAGTGATTAAGTTGTTTGCTTTGATCTTGCGTCGATTGTATCTGGAGAGGCAGTGTCGGAGTTCGGCTGGGATTCGTGTGAGGTCTGAGTGTAGCGTAGGTGGTGGTAGTGGTGAAGGACAGATTTGTCACAGACTAGCGATTGTGTAACGTGGAACTGAGGATTAGGGTGGTGCATCGAGTGCAGATCTGCGGGAGGAAGAAGAGGTTTAGTCAAGATGTCGACCGACGTAGGATTCTCTGGAGATGAAACCGCTCCCTTTTTCGGCTTCATCGGAGCTGCTGCTGCGCTCGTCTTTTCATGCATGGGAGCGGCGTATGGAACAGCCAAGAGTGGAGTGGGAGTTGCAAGCATGGGTGTGATGAGGCCCGAGTTAGTGATGAAATCTATTGTGCCAGTGGTCATGGCTGGAGTGTTGGGTATTTACGGATTGATTATTGCTGTCATCATTTCCACTGGAATCAACCCTAAGGCCAAACCCTACTACTTGTTCGACGGGTATGCCCATCTGTCCTCCGGATTGGCTTGTGGATTGGCAGGACTGTCAGCTGGTATGGCCATCGGAATCGTCGGAGATGCTGGAGTGAGGGCCAACGCTCAGCAGCCCAAGCTGTTCGTCGGAATGATTCTTATCCTTATTTTCGCTGAGGCGCTTGCTTTGTACGGTCTTATCGTTGGAATCATTCTCTCATCTCGCGCTGGTCAATCTCGAGGAGAGTAGGGACCTAGTTTTGCCGATCTGCATGCCTCCCTCGGCTGGCTTGAGTGCAGAGCATGATTGGTTAGATATGCGTTGTTTTGGTTGATGAATATTGGATAGATCTTGAAGCTGGAAAGAAAACCATAAAATTCTTTTTGATACCACAACTGGTATAGCTCCCACCACTCGAAACCTTCCAGTGAGACCGAACGGATGCACGGACGTAGATCTAGATCTAGAGTTGATCTTTTGTGAGTTGTAATAACTGTGGCTACATTTGTACATGTTCTTTCAAGGCCATGTCTTCCTGGAGGTGAAGATCGTCTGATCCATACGTGATCCATGTTAATAAATACCAATCGAGGCAGAAACACTTTAATTTTATAATATATTTAGTTTAGCACATCAAACAGCTTCTCGATCAGCAATGCTGTAAGATGATGTTTGTTGGAAGAGTTATCTATATGTCTTTGGGCTGTGTACATCGTGACAAAGTGTTATGCGCGTGGAAGCTCTGTTAGATTTGTTGTTGATATCCAAGTGGGCCAAGCAGAGAACAAAAATGGATTCAGCTTGTCTGGTATAATTAATCATCGAGGTTCATTTCCCCGTCTCTTTTCTTCTAATGAGTAGGTGCTTTGGTATTCAGATATTTTGTCTCATTCATAGTCCTTATATTTCTGTCAGCATTTGGAGGGATTTACTGTTCTTGCCTGAGTTTGCGGATATTACAAAACCAGTTATGTAGGTGTGGAAGTTCAAAATATTATTCAGCGTGCAGATCATATTACTCAGCTACTACGTGTATATTTTCGCAGTTAAAGCAGACTTGTCACGGGATTTAGAAACTCCGGGACTTTATAAAAGCTGCAACGAGCAGCAGATACACAGCCGGTGACGTTTTTGTGATGTGAATTCCGCTCAACATTGACCCTAAACCGGATGTTCTGATACCTGTGGTCGGACCTTCTGCTAGCTACCAACAGCTAGCGATATTAGACTGATTCCATATTCTCGTTCCCAGATACGAAGCAGGATTTGGGCACCCTGTGGGCTGTTTAATCGTTGTGCTGGCAACCGGTATGAATAGTCTGTCTACTCGTTGATTTTTCTGCAGATGCACGTAGTAGTTTGAACAAATGAGGATCCTCAAGATAGGTCACTACACACAATTGAAACAGAAATGCAACGTGTGAGGAGACTCTTCCCGCAAAGAGTTCTGCAAGCAAGATGACGGCCTCTTTGAAATACAGATCCAATTGGCTCGTGTCGGGTTCCATCGTTCACATCCCTTCAAATACCAAAAGGCACAGATCGTAGTACAGTACTTAATATCACTAACCTTACTTTCCACACTTTCTTTGCGGACTACGGATCATTCGTTTGACCTCTTATCGAGACCCGTTCAAGAACCAACTCGTGGATACATCTTTGCACTTTTACCCTTTTCGTAGGTCTGGAACTAATCGTGTATTTGAAGTTGGACATTAAAACCTTAATTCCTGTGTGGGTGTAATGGGTAATCAAAACACGGCATCCTAAATCTCACAATTGCAACTAGCCAACAGTTCTTGCATTCCACTGGTCATTACAGGGTTTAAGGACTCATATAATTCACCTGCATGAGTGGAAAACACCTCAGATGTTTTCTACAAACAGCCACTGAGTCTCTCAACAAGAATGCAAGTCTCATACATGATGAATGCAGGAACGGGGAAGACTGAAGTTAACCTTTTGGTTTCTTCATTTTGGTGGAGCACTCGGTCTTCCTTTAAAAGTTTTGCTGTATTACTTGGTGCCCTCCAGTTATGACAGCAAGGTCGAATATAAGATGTCATTTAATAGAAGGTGTGTTTATGCTTAAGCCACAGAGTCCTGAGGGCAAGCTATATTTCCGACTGAAAGCTAATTCCTTATGAAAGCTAAAAAATCAACAGCTGCATCCAGTACACAGTATTGGACGGTGAAGACATTCCGAATTATCTGCTAGTTTCTGAGTGGCATCCACCGAGCTGCTCTTAAGGTTACTTCGAATGTAATAATCGCATAATGCTAATCAACCTGCTGCTGCCCAACTACGTATCATGAGCTAACCTGGGGAGAGACCGATAAATACCATAGGATTGAAGCGAAAGAACCGGTGCTCTACATGAGGCGACAAAGGCAAGAAGCTCGAGGAAAGCAAAAGGAGATAAGGTTTCATTCTTTTCAATTTGAAGCGAACACCGATTATAATACAGTCATCTCGTACCAAAGACCCTGACAATCTGAATATTCGAAGTTCGATGTAAAGATTCGACTATAACCAGGCATGGTTGTTGTAAATTAACTAAACTGTTTGATGATTAGGCGCCTAATTAAGGTGGATTGATTTGGCGTCTACATGTTGCAACCAATGGGGAGTGGACACTTATGCAGAAATGACGAATTTTTTAATTTATTTTTTCTAAATTAATGTAAAACTGTTAAAAAAAATTTGCATTTGTTTTATTAGACTAAATTAACCTAAATTGAATTTTCAAAAGTTAAATTAACATTTTAGTAAACTAAATTAGAGTTTTTGAGTAGACTATTACAACCATGTCTAACTATAACCCTTGCCACTACCCACTGATTCCTGCCATGAGAATTAAATTCGACGCTTCATGGTATGTAAAAGCTTGAAGTACAAACCTATATGGATATCCGACCTTGTAGCTTCAGAATTCCCCATGGGTCTGTACAAAATTATAAGCTGAGTAAAAAAAGGCTGCACGGTTGTGCCCCTCAGCTGCTACGTTCTCATACATGAACATTGGGATTGTTGCAAACGAGGTCCAGGTCCCGTTGAGAGACACTGCGGTCCCAGGTCATCTAGAAAACCCATGAACATAGAGAGAGGAATGGGCCGAAGTGACACACATAGTTTCTGGATCAAGAGGGTGAAGTATACTTACCTGGGCGGGGCCTATCGCTGGTCAGGAAGGGCGATGACCTAGGACCGGCTCCCCCATTGCACATCGGTCGGGCTAGTCCTAGCATTTCCCTAAGGGGAAAATGCACGTCTATTTGTGGCAGAGGAGGGCTCGCGTTCGCGCGGCCCTCCATCAGTGAAACCATAAATAGGAGATGCGCAAAGTCGAGTTTTCCAAAAGCTGATCACATCCCCGGTCTCTGCCTACTAAAGTGAAACCTTGAACAGCCTTCTGAACACTTGGATGTCGAGTCAAGTGTGTTCAGAAGAGCCCTGTCCATCCTCTACTTGACCGCGGAAGCGCTTGAGATCAAGAAAAAGCGTGCATTTCTACTCGTGGCAGAGGAGGGCTGATTCTCTGGAGACCTCCACCGTATCAAATGTAATCAGGAAATGACTTGACTTGGGATATCAAGCGTATGAATCGATGGGAAATGGAGTTGTTGCCTGCCCATTGTGAGAATTCTCCTCGTTGTTGCGGAAGTGCACGTTATAGATCGTGGGAGAGGAGGCCTAAAACGTTTCAAATGGGATCAGGAAACGAAAGTCCAAGTATTGACCAGAATTAGAGATCATTGTAATGGTGAGAATCACTCTGACCGAATTTGGGGCCGTAGTAAGTAATCGGAGAAGGATCCAGCGAGTTCAAATTGGTATAGAGCGAACTCAGTAGAACGGTGAAACGGCGCTATTCTTAGCACGTGAAATTCTCTGTCCAGTGACAGTGTCTTATGTTCCCAAAAAACGATCGACATCGCAAGTGACAGGAATTTATGACTCCTTCCAGATTTGTGCGTTTCTGTTCGGTTCATACTTCGCAGTGAACATCAGGATGCAGACTTCCAACCAGCTGAATACCTTCTCGATTAACAAGAACTTGACTTGTTGGACGTTTTGTAATTCTTCGTGACACTCATCGCCGTGCGCTTCTGATTGCACGTGTGGAGACAAAGGTGTGTTACATCTTATCCACCACGTCTTCTGATGGTCTTAGACTGCCCTTGCAATTGTTGCTTCTTTTATGGCGGCTGACGGTTCTCTATCTTATACGCAAACCTTTGCTGAAAGTGGTAAACGGTTTTTAATTATTCAGATCTCTCACCAGCTCTCGTTTGGCTCAAGTTAGAACATTTATTTATAATTTTTTCAAACAAATGATTATAATCTAGTTTAACTCTGAAATTTAAATTTTAATAAAAATAAGTTCAATAAAATGATTTACGCTCCGAAATATTTAACGCGATATGATGATAATAATGTTTTCATCTCAAATGAGAAGATTGATTAGATTAGAGATAACTAGAGATCTAAATCTTGAATTATATTGCTCGAAAAAAAACATCAAATTTAAATGTGATACATTGATTTTCATGATTATTTACTTAAAATTTTGATAAAAAATTATTATATTATTTTAACTGAATTACAAATATTTTCAGTCAAATAATTCAACAATTAACTTATAGATAATTGATAATTACGATATAATTAGTAAATATATACATGTAATGTATTTATTTATCTCATTTTGATTAGTTTAGATAGATTTAACTGAAAATTACTTGGTTTGATTATTTTGTGTATAAGTTATATTTTTAACTCAAAACAAAATGCTTTTAATCATATATTAAGAATGATCTTGTTGAATGAAGTGTTTACAGTTCTTCATATATCCAAATACAACTTACAAGGTGATATAATCAATGATTTTTGATTGACGTGTCGTCTTACGGGCATGAAAATAAGAACAAAATTTACCATTCTCAAATTGTTTCATAACGAAGAAATTTATCTTTTATGACTAATTCTAAATTTGTAGTTGAATATATAATATAGGACATAATATGTAATAAAAATATTTCAAACCAAACACACTCGTGCATCATTGTACAGTATATTGCTACACCATGTGGTTTGATGCTTGATACGGGAGACCCAAACATGATCAGATAGTTGCAACGTCAATGATTACATTCAAGAAAAACGTAGAACAGAATGGTTTCCTTGTTACATAATGTGCATAATTATTGTGTATGGGGTGTCCGTGAGATGGAAGAGGGCTTGAATAGAAACGGGGTATCTCCAATAAATAAATAAATAAATAAAATATATCTATTTTATCTCTTGGTATCCAGAACTTAAGTAAATAATTAATTTTAAGTCTAGATTAGAAATTATTAAGAGAAATAGTCCAAAGTGATCGAATGAGGGTACATTTTTTGTCGCGCATGTGCAAGCAAGGTCATTTTCTCCCGCAACTGTTTAGGCACGACTCCTACCTCGTGTTCTCCATGAGAATAATCACAGAAGTCTTCGCGTGGACAGAATCCTGAAACAAACTTCCGACAGAGCTTAGTTTTGAGGAATGCGTGTCTAATTCTCCAATCACAGAGCTTACCACACACAGTCTCTTGCCTGATCAGCAGGCTTACTCTCATCGCTGCACAAAGAACCTTGATCGATCCCTCCATTATGAGATATTTGACATATGGAAGAAGTGAGTTATTCTGAACAACAAGCTTCCGCAAA